CTGGTTGGTGCTGTTGGGCCAGGTGGGAATTTCCAGTTAAATCTGCTGTTCCTTTTTTACCGATAAAGCTGGATTTACATTTGCTTTTTTGCCAGTATCTTGGGGTCCCCAGCTGGGCCTTGCAGAAGATACAGTGGCAACGAACTTCGTCTTAAGATAAGGGGCGGGCAGCTGTGCTAACTGCATCTGGGGCTCAAAACTTCTCCAGAAGAAGTGCTGGAGCAACCCCCTGCCTGAGTCTCCATGGCTCTGTGGCTCTGGGCCACTCCCTCCTGGTGCAGTTGGGAGCCCAGCTTCTCTCCACTCTGTGCCCAGACCTGTTGCGGGCATTGTGGAGGCTGACAGGCTTATTGAGTTTAATACCCCTGGGAACTTGCTAGGCTTTCAGTGCTTGGAACAACTCAGAAGGGCTACTCTGGCTCCAGAACTTCCTGAAGGCTCAGCTGCAATTACCCTTGGGCCTGCATTGCAGCTGGACTTCTCCCTGTGCCCAATCCTGCACGCTTCTGTCTTCCTCAGTTGTTGGTTCCAAGAGCACTCATTGATCAACGTTGTACACCCTACACTCCATCTCAGAGTTGGCCTCTCTGGGGATCTAGATTGCTACAACCCCCAAGAGACTCTGGTCACTCACAGATCCACTTTGTGTTAAGAGACTTTTGGTTAGAGGTAACAAAACAACCAAATCACATTGGCCTAAACTATGAAGGGCTCAGATCAATAAATAGATTAGATGAAGCTTTATCCAGAAATCAAGTGATGGCACTAAGGACTTGGTTTCTATTTGTCTACTTTGTTTTCTGAGGTGTTGCCCTTTCCTTAAGGTCAGCACCGCTTGTGGCCCCAATATGCCAGCATCTCCCAGGGTTGTGCAGGTCCTTGTACATGTCCTGTTGGAAAGAGAGAGACTGACTGTGTCCCAGAATTTTTAGCCAGTGTATTAAGATTCACTATAATTGGGCTGGGCACAGTGGCTCACGCCTGTAATCCTAGCACTTTGGGAGGCCGAGGCAGGTGGATCATTTGAGGTCAGGAGTTTGAGACCATCCTGGCCAACATGGCAACACCCTGTCTCTACTAAAAATACAAAAATTAGCTGAGCATGGCAGCAGGCACCTGTAATCCCAGCTACTCAGGAGGCGCTTGAACCTGGGAGGCAGAAGTTGCAGTGAGCTGAGATTGTGCCACTGCACTCTAGTCTGGGTGATGGGATGAGACTCCATCTCAAAAAAGAAAAAGAAAAAAAGATTCACTCTAATTGAACCAGCTTATATTACATGCCCATCTTGAGCCGGTCTTGGAGGTGGAGCGTGTCTGCTGGTTTAGTTCAGGTCACCGGCTCTACCTTGGAGCAGGGAAGGGATGGTTAAGGTGGAACATGTGACCTAGGCTGAGCCAACAGATACTCCCCAGAGTCATATGGATCTCCAAGCAGAAATGGACCATGTTGAATACAATAGCAAACACTTCAATAGAACCTACTTTATGCTTTACATGTATCGACTCACTACATCCTCATAGCAACAACCCTATGAAATAGGTATTGTTATTTTCATTTTACAGATGAAGAAACCAAAGGATGAAAAGGCAAAGTGATTTTTTCAAAGTCACCAGGTTACTAAGTGACAGAGGCAGTTTGCTCTTAACCTCTGTATAATCAGGAGCTCAGCTGAGCAGGAGAGAGCTGAACTGCCAAGTGCTGGAGTAGCTGATTAATGATGGCCTGGCATGGTGGCTCATGCCTGTAATCCTCGCACTTTGGGAGGCTGAGGCCAGTGGATTGCTTGATCTCAGGAATTTGAGACCAGCCTGGGCAACATGGTGAAACACTGTCTCTATAAAAAATATAAAAATTAGCTGGGTATGATGGCATGCGCCTGTAGTCCTAGCTGCTGGGGAGACTGAGGTAGGAGGATTGCTTGAGCCCAGGAGGCAGAGGTTGCAGTGAGCCGAGATCACACCACTGCACTCCAGCCTGGGTGACAGAGTGAAACCCTGTCTCACAACAAAAAAAGTCAAAATGAAAGCAATAGCCAAGCCCCAAATCTCTTATTATTACAGTACAAGGAAGAGGCTAAACCAGAGAACCTGGTTTGTTTTATTTTGTAGAACACAGATCCACCCTGTTCTCATTTCCTCATAGAATGATGCCATCTGGGGTTGGGTGGATGAGCACAGGTGTGGGGTTGGTCTCACTGCAGAAGAGCTTCCAACAAAAGGCTCCTGCAGTTGTACAGACCTGGGGGCCAGGGATGGGGTGGGGAAGGGAGAGTGGGAAAAGTTCTGAGTCAGCATGGAGGAAAGTGTCTTCAGGGATTCCCCACTCCCCATGATAAGGAGGTTGTGGCCAAAGGCCTACCCCACTGCAATGAAGACGTGTCTGAATGAAGACCTGGGGTAGGAGCGGAGATGTGTGTGAGAGGTCGACTGTCCAGGAGGCTTGAGTCTGTGCCTGCAACTGTCTTTAAAGACTGCAATGCATCCGCTGTGCACAACTCAGCTGTGAGGCCTGCCAGGTAAAACCTGTCATTGCCTGTGGTTGAGCTGAAAAATCACACTTAGGTTTTTAGCCAGGAGCTGGACTTTTTGTGAAGGGATGCATAAGTTCAGAGGAGGAAAGCCAAGAAAGGACGCCTGGACATAGATTCCCTCACATTGCATGTAGCCCTCATGCCTCCAAATGCGCCAGAGAGTGACCCCACACATGTACAGCAACTGCACGTGGGTATCTTCCCAGGTACTCAGAGCCGTGTGTGCAGCTCTCACAAGCAGATACACCTGCATGCACATGCACATGGATGCATCCTGGGACTGTTTTTTTTTTTGTTTTTTGGGATGAAGTCTTGCTCTGTCGCCCAGGTTGGAGTGCAGTGGCATAATCTCTGCTCACTGCAACTTCCGCTCCCTGGGTTCAAGTGATTCTCCTGCCTCAGCCCCCCTATTAGCTGGGATTACAGGCGCCTATCACCACTCCCAGCTAATTTTTGTATTTTAGTAGAGACGGGGTTTCACCATGTTGGCTAGGTTGGTCTCCAACTCCTGATCTCAGGTGATCCACCCGTCTTGGCCTCCCAAAGTGCTGGGATTACAGGTGTTAGCCACCGCGCCCGGCCCAAAATTTATCATTTTAACCATGATAAGTGTACAATTCAGTCACGTTAAGTACATACACAGTGTAGCATAACCACTGCCACTATCTATTTCCAGAAAGTTTTCATCATCCTAAACAGAGATTTTGCACTCATTAAATAATAACTTCCCATTTCCTCCTCCTGCTCCCAGCCCCTTGGTAACTTATTTTTTCGTTTATTTTGAGACAGGGCCTCATTCCGGTCATCCAGGCTAGAGTGCGGTGTCATCATCACAGCTCACTGCAGCCTCAACTTCCCAGGCTCAGGTGATCCTCCCACCTCAGTCTCATGAGTAGCTGGGACTACAGGCAGGTGCCGTCATGCCCTGCAATTTTTTTTGTAGTTTTAGTAGAGATGGCGTTTCGCCATGTTCCCCAGGCTGGTCTCGAACTCCAGGACTCAAGCGACCCACCTGTCTTGGCCTCCCAAAATGCTGGGAATACAGGTGTGAGCTATCATGCCTGGCCAGTACTTTCTTCTTCTTTTTTTAAATTTCTTAAAATTTTTATTAATCACAAGTAACAAAAACCCAATATATATTAACACATAAATAACATTTTTGACAGATAGCTATTTTTATTTTTTTCACATATTAAAACCCACTAAAAATAACCATTTTTCTAACCAACAACAACAAAAATCATTAGTGAGAAGAGTACTGCTGCTTTACATTTCTCCAAATCTCTTCAATGTCAGACAACAGACGAAAGCTGGATTCTCATCTGCTTTTGCATTCAGCCTATTACAATATCACACCAGATAGCCTCTTGAAAACTCCTCTGCACACTCTTGAAAAAATGAGAGTGAAAAAGATAAACGATGGTCGGGCATGGTGGCTCACACCTGTAATCCCAGTACTTTTTGAGGCTGAGGTGGGCAGATCACTTGAGCTCAGGAGTTCCAGACCAGCCTGGCCAACATGGTGAAACCCCGTCTCCACTAAAAATACAAAAATTAGCCAGGTGTGGTGGCGGGTGCCTGTAATCCCAGCTACTCAGGAAGCTGAGGTAGGAGAATTGCTTGAACCTGTGAGGCGGAGGCTGCAGTGAGCTGAGATCGTGCCACTGCACTCTAGTCTGGGCAACAGAGCAAGACTCCTTCTCAAATAAAAAAAAAGAAAAACAATAAAAGATGAAATGATGTCTCAGTGTTATAAAAATAGCTTTGACCTAGAATACCCTTGAAAAGCTCTTGAGGGCCCCAGACCACACTTTGAGAACTGCTCTAGACGAATCTCTTCATTTTACATATAAGGACTATGGACCTCAGAGAGAGTAAGCGAGAAATTCAACATCACACAGCCTGTTAATAGTAGGGTACAGACATTAGATGGTTTGTCTCACTTCTCTTGGTTTAGGTTCTCAATTGAAAACCTGGGAAATATACCCTAATGACCTGTCCTATTCCCTGTAAGTTGCAAAGATTGTCACAATATATTACCCTCCCCACCATTTCTTTAATAAAAGAGGTAATCAACAAACTTGGTAAATTTTGCAACAGGCATACTGTGTTTGAATCTAAACTACAATATTTGGGTCTGTATTTGAACAGAAATACTAAGGCAAATTCGACTGCATCCTACTCCATGCAAGCTAGTAATGACAAACTGTACAGTACATATCATAGGTAAATATGGAAAGCAAATTACCCATAATATCAGTATTTATCATATATTCTGTGTCTGGAATACAATTCAATAACATATTTCAGAAAAAATTTTCTCAAGTACTAGCTGAAAGGGTGGTGGGTACATTAAGAGACTGCAAATAAATTGGCAATCACAGGAACTTTTTTAAGATAAAATGGAGTTGTTCTGAAATGTAGATATTTTTCATTCCTTAACCAGACCTTATTTTTGTCTTTTTAAAGAAAATCGAGAAATCTTCTCAGCCACCTAGAGATGATTTCCTTTGTATCCCACCAGATGGTTCAACTCTTCTACAAATGGATCAAAGCCTTGTTCTTTTAAACAACATAGTCCCCAGAAAAGCTGGTCCAGAGGAGGAAATTCTTCCCAAGGAACCCACTCCCAACTTTCATTTTTTTCAGAGTCTATATTCTTTCGTTCTGAATCATGAGTCACATCCACTTCTCCTTTCATTAATATAGTAACAGAATGGTAATTCTCCTTCTCAATGAAAGAATTCACAACTGAGGCAAAGCGAACATTTTTCAGGTGAAGAGCTGCTTTTCCCCAGGTTTCCCTTTGAGCACATTCTTCTCAGGTCTCACAGAATTCCAGATGACCTCCAGGGAGTTGGAAACTGCCGACTCCAACCGAGCCTTTCCTCTTCCCGAGGAGGACGCAACACGGATGCTTGCAGCTGGTCACCATGACTCTGACTCCGGGCACGGCTCCCACAGCTCTGTGCTGGCCGTCATAGTGCGTGGAAGCCCGGCCAGTAATTTCTATTCTGCTTTCTGTCTCTGTGAATTTGCCAATACTAAGTACCTCATATAAGTAAAATTATACAAATTTCCCTTTTTGTGTGTGGCTTATTTCACTTGAAATGATGTTTTAAAGGCTCATCTATGTTGTAGCATGTTATCAGAATTTCATTCTTTTTTATGGCTGAATAATATTCAATTGCATAAATATACCACATTCTGTTTACCCATTTATCTGTTGATGTACATTTGGGTTATTTCCACCTTTTGGCTACTGTGAATAATGCTGCTATGAACACTGGTGTACAATATCTGTTTGAGTCCCTGCTTTCAATTCTTTTGGACATATATCTAGGAGCAAAACTGCTGGATCATATAATTCTGTTTAAATCTTTGAGGAACCAACAAGCCGTTTTCCACAGTGGCTACACTGTTTTACATTCCCACAAGCAATGCATGAGGGTTCCAGTTTCTCCATATCCTCCCCCATATCCTCATCAACACATCTTTTCTCTTTTTTCTGGTTTTTTTTTTTTTTTTTATATATTTGGATGGAAGTCCCACATGCTCGTGATTACCACAGCTGGAGTGCGCAGTGAGGCGATCGATCTTGAACTGAACGAACCTATCGCACTGCGTGCAGGTTCAAGCTGATTTCTCGTGGTCCAGATCTCCGGTAGCTGGGCACTACAGGTGCCGACACTACGACTGGACTGGAATATTTGTTATTTATTAAATAGTATTTTTAAAAGATAGAGACAGGGTTTCACCTATGTTGGCAAGGCGTCTTGAACTCCTGACCCTAGTATACGTCACCACCCATTGGATCCTAACCAAAGTGCAGACATTCAGGGCGTGGCCACCAGACGGCCCGCTGCCCCAAACATCTAGAAAGCCCTCTTTGTGAGGTTATGTGTAAAGGCTCTTTAGCAGGGAGTCCTTATCCAGATTAGGATCCTGCTTGTTTTCCTAGCGCGGTCTTGCTAGGTGGTGTTGCATCGCTGTGGAAATTTGCTGTTTCTGCTGCACAGAAAGAAGGTGCTAAAAGACAAAAAGGATGGGTGGGCAGGCAAGCATAACAGTCAAGTAAGGTGCAGAACAAAGCTGTATAATATTATAATGATCCCGGGACCCTGTGATCACTATATTTAGGCAGCAGGGTTGTAAGACAGGTTTTTGCCTGGACACGTTACCTATGTTTTATTTATTTATATTCTATATATTCTATTGAATTTTTTTGGAGACGGAGTCATTGCTCTGTACGAGTCTGGAGTGCAGTGGCCGGATTCTCGTCACTGCAAGGCTCTCTCTCGGGTTCACGCACATTTCTCCGCCATGTTCCAAGTAGCTGGGACTCAGCACGCAACATCCTGCTGGCGTAGGTTTTTTTGTATTTTTTCAGTAGAGACGGGTAATTCACCCCGTGTAGCCAGGAATTAGGTCTCGATTCCATATACCTCATAGATCGGCCCCCCCCCCCCGCCCCCCCCCCCCCCCCCCCCCCCCCCCCCCCCCCCCCCCATTCGACCTCCAAAGTGCTCTCATAAGGCTGAACCACCGCGCCGCACAGCAGAGAGAATAACTTGTTATTTAATTGAAAATGCTCTCATGTGCAAGAGACATGTGGTGGAGTGCCCTTCTCCGATTGAAAGCAATATCGGACAAACCAGTAAGAATGGTTGGCGTTTTATCGGCAAGAGAGAGCAAACGGAGGAGGGAGAGCGACTATCACCGTATAAATATAATACC